TTACAATGCGGCCTACCTAATCCAAATTTGATACGTCAGCACTATCAGTTAATGATAGCAGATCTGTTTCTTCACTATTCCTTTAACACCATAAGACAGGGAAAATTGCCTTTACAGTCCCTGTGTACAACAATTCCCATCCTACTCAAAGATATCAGTGCAAAGTCTTGCCTCAGGGAACATTGAATTCCCCGACTTTATGTCAACATTTTGTGCATCTAGCCCTACAGCAATATCGCTTGGAACACCCTGAATTGCTTGTACATCATTACATGCATGACATTTTGGTGGTGGGGCAATCCCTCCCCACTACTGTCTATGATTCTCTAGCTAACTGCTTAGAGAAAAAAGGCCTTCACATAGCTCCAGAAAAGATAAACCACACCTCTGTTTCTTTATCTAGGGCACAAACTGGTGCAAGCTACATCTTCTCCATTCTTACCAGAACTAAAAACTCCATCTCAATTGACAGTGCAGTTGCAACAGTTCCTTGGGCACTTAAATTAAGGCTCGTCCATTTTGGACAAATTGCAACCTTTGTTTAATACACTTAGGGGACATCAGTCTCCTGCTGACTCCATATCCATCATCAAGGCTATGAAACATGCATACATCAAATTAATGTAGCCTTGAGACGTACCATGGTCAACCACATTCCTTCTTTTGATCCCTTGCAGCTGGTTATCTTGAACACTCCCCAACTGCCTTCTGGATTGCTGTGTAGCCCAAAGTCTGACAAGGCCATTTCTGTAGCAGAATGGCTTTATTTATCTAACACTCCTCCCCGAAAGGTTTGTTGTTGTTGTTGTTTAGTCATTAAGTCATGTCTGAATCTTCATGACCCCATGGACCAGAGCACGTCAGGCTCTCCTGTCTTCCAGTTCCTCCCGGAAATGTTTAAATGCAATTACAGGCCTTGTAATCAAAGGGCGCCATCGTGCCAAACAACTCACAGGTTGGGATCTTCTGTGTTGTTACTTACCTATTTCCAAAGCTGACCAAGATCATTTTGATTTTGCAGACTATATTGGTGATATACGTTTTAATCCTCCTTAAAGACCCTCACTTAACATTCATTCAGCAAGTACCCTTTCGCTTTTCCTCTTTTCTCTGCTACTCCTCTCCCTGATGCTCTGTTTTTACTGATGATACGCCCACCAGAGGTGTGATTACCTTTCAGAAACCTTCCAGAACCTGGAAAACCTGTTTTACTTCAAACCTCTTCTCAACGTTCAGAACTGGCAGCTGTCATCCTTGCCTTTCAAATGTTTCAGGATCAACTTTTAAATCTCATTGCAGACACTCAATATGTATTTAATCTTCTCACTCATCTGTCACATGCCTATCTTTCTCCTGCTCTTGACTTTTCCTTACTTTCCCTGTTTTTGACTTTAAAAAACCTCCTTGCTCACCTTTTTTTTTTTTGCAGCTCACACCCAATCTCATACTGGATTTCAAGATGGTATCTCATAGGGAAATCATTGTGCAGACTCTGTTTTTCATGCCCCCTCTTTTACAATCCTATTGACAGCCATTCCCTTTTTCATCAGAGTGCTAAACAATTCCATAAGCAACTTTCTATTCTGCTTTCTCAAGCACAAGACATTATCTCCTCCTGCTCTTCTTGTTCCATGTCTCCCACTTCCCTTCCTTTTGATGCTGTTAACTCACGAGGAATGGATGCCAACCAGCTTTGGTAAATGGACATCACTCATGTTCTTACCCTTGCTCTTCTTTCTTATGTTCATCTAACTATTGATACTTATTCAGGATACATCTGGGCTACCTGTCTTTGTGGTGAGACCTCTAACCATGCCATACAACATTGTTTACATACATTTGCAATTATGGGCTGGCCTCAAGCCTTAAAAATAGACAATGGCCCTGCTTATACCTCTCACGCCTTTACCACTTTCTGAAATGAATGGGACATTCAACTTTCCTCGAGGTTATCTCCTGAAGCCCTTTCCATAAGTGGAGATAGCCACAAGGCAGTGGAGGTTTCCTATACTTAACTGCACAGGACAGGCTATTGTAGAACAAGCACACTGCTCTTTTAAATTTCTCCTTTCAAAACAAACAAAAAGCAGAGGGATCAAGCCACATGATGTTCCAGATGTAGTATCAATAGCATTGTTCACATTCAATCATTAAACTGTATCTGCAGGTCAGCATAAGTCAGACTTGGGCAAAGTGCAGCCCGAGGGCCACATATGGCCCACAAGCTGCTCCTGTCCGGCCTGCGGACAGTTTTGAACATCAAAACCATTTATAGCTTTTCGTCTAAAGTTGATCAGTTGCTTATCTTTAACATATTGCGAAAAACCTCTTGAGTATTTGTGAAGATTAACAAGTTTAAAATAAAAACAATCATAACATCACTGTTTCATTTTATTTTTAAGTAAAGTTGGTTCGGTTCCCAAACACAATTCAGATTTTTGATGTGGCACCCCTATAGAAATTAATTGCCTACCCCTGGCATAAATTGTCGCCAGTAGAGAAACACTTTCATAAAGAAATCCCCATGGAATGGCTGCTGGGGACTTATAAGCAACCTCCTGACCCTCAGTGGGAGGGTCCAGCCCTTTTACTAACATGACGTCGTGGCTAGTGGTGGAAATCAGGCATCCTCAGATGTAATACAATGAACCACCCTTACAACAATGGTTCCTAACGTTGGACCTCCAAATATAGTTGGATTACAATTCCCATAATCCTAACTAGCATGGCCTATGATGAAAGATGATGGCACTAATATGTCAACTCCACTGGAAAATCAAAGTCTAAGAATCACAGCTTTGGAGAATACCACTTCCTACTTAGTTTTTCCAGTTCCAAATACTGATATTCAGATAGCAATGAAAGGGAAATGTACTCTTAGAACTATGGAAACTATCTTTTATATACAGTATTGTTAGTTTACCTTCCTGGCCCAGTTTAGACAAGTGTAGCCATGCGTTGGTAATGATGAAGAATCTGGCAGGCGCTCTTTATTCACTCTGGAAATTAACAAGGAATATCATATATTCTTAGAGATTTGTTTGTTCAGTAGGTTGGAGCCAGAACCTGCCTCCTGTGCATGGAACAACCCTGTATTACAGATGACGTCTCAACCTGGTTTTCTGATAATTAGGATGAGAGGATGGTGAATTCTGCTTCCACTAGCCCAGTTATACTTACCTAAAACTCGATCCAATCCATTGCAAGAATCTCACACCACAGCAATCAAACTGAAGTCACATGTGCCCCAATGGAAATCATTTAATTGGAAGCAATCATACTATGCGTTCACCAGACCTAAAATGTTTTCTTTGAACATATAAATGTAAACCTTCCCCCAACTCCATAGCTGAAATACACAATTCTGAATGGGGGCTTCCTGAAGCCATAGTTATTAAAAAAACTAGATTGCTTTTTCAACGAGATGTGCTTTCAAGTCACAGATTCCTTTTTATCGTCCTTTTCAAATGAAGGTTTCTTGCATAACAGCATGAGTGTGAGGAGCACGGGCAAGTGCCAGAGACTGCAAAAAAACAATTTCCGGGAGCTGCCACGGTCAGCGTCTCTGTAGAAACGATAGCCCAGGTAGGAAATATACAAGTTGACTGGAAAAGAAATTACAGGGAAAGTCCATGTGGTGACATCCATGATGGGAGCCAATGAGGAAAGTCCAATTAAGGCAAAGCAATGACGCAGAGCTACCCGTCTGCACATTGCTGGGTGAGTGACAGACATCATGCAATAGCCACCTCGGGAGTAATCTTCGCGAAGGCCCCAGCTTAGAGCATTGAAATGGGGGAACTGCCAGGAGTAGAGAATCCCTCCCAGCAGCAAGGCTCCTGCAAAAGAAGAGAAATCAAGGCATTATTAGAGTGCCTACGACAACCATTAGACATTTGGATAACTTGGCTGAGATTTCTTCTCTTGGATTTTGTATATCCAGTAAATCACCTGAAGGTGCAAAGAGCTCATTAATTAATCTAGTTGGTCCCAAGGCAGGGATAGGTGTACCAGATGCAGCTGAAAGAAACTGCCTGGTTCTTCATATAAACTGCAAATATCTAGAGTTTAGACACGCGAGTTGCTAACTGTCAGGTTCTTTTGCCATAAAGATTGCAAAACTGGATGGAAAAGGACTACACATTTCACCTTTTATTTTATTTGTCCTTTTTATATTATCATGCTTGTAGAAGCCCATTTCAGAATTTTTTTTTAAAAAAATGCCCACACTATTTTCAGAAAGCCCAGAACAGAAAAAAGTGTATGTGGGATGACCATTGCATTCTTGTACTTCTTGTCCAAATATCTTTGCTTCTACTCCAATTTGCACAAACACATTGTAATCCCACCCCTCATTTACAATTTGTCTTGCATTTGAAATAGCCACAGTCTTGTACTTACTGGAAAAAAAGTCATTTTTCCAGGTGACCAGAACCTACAGCTTCATCCAGAGCTCATAAATGGATGTCGCCTGCCTTGGGACAGGGCCCCAAAGAAGACACATATTTCAGCTTCTCAACTCATCATTTTTAATCCTACACTGTAGGAGTATATATTCATTTATTCACATAGTTATTTAATGGAAGTACAATCAAACCCTTAATCACTTCTAGAAGAAATCCACTTTTCCACTTGCAGTAGACAATGCTTAGATGCATCTCCTGCCTTGGTTTTTCTATTCCACTCTTTTATGTTTGAGATGCTAAATGGAAAGTATATGAACATAAGCAAAACTGGTTAACACTGGCACGGCACAGCACTTTCTATGCACAGGGAAAGAAACTGTCTTACATACAATTGAAAAAAGTAATGGATATTCAGTATAGGTGTAACACAAGGATGAATGTCTCCCATCAGTATTACTATGCACTTCCCTATTCAACTGTATATATTCCATATGCCTTGGCATTCAAAAAGAGTAACAGGAGCTACTGTTTCCCCTAAATATTTATGCTATAGGAAGAGATCCAAAAGATGCACAATTAGCAAAGGTTGGCCATGTGGGACAATTGGGGTACTATCCCATCTCAACCTCAGCCATGTTTCCAAAATGACTCCAAACCCAAGAGCATAACAATGAAGTTATTTTCCACTCATGGTTGCCTTGGGTGGATGTGAAAAGTTTTGTAGTAATAGCATATTTGCTCAACTGTGTTATCATTCACAAGCTCAAACAAAAGCGAAAGGTGATTCATGTTAAAATCTAAGCAGAGAAAGTGAGGCTTATAGCTGGAGCTCTAAACAGCCTTGCTACCTCTTTCATTGTCTTGGGTTTTGGTTTCATGTACTGTATGTATGACAGTACATGAAACCAAATGTACTGCCAGCCAGGCATGTAAAATAAACAGAGAATGGTTAAAGTATCAACTCCAAAACAGATGTGGAAGTCTTACTGCATTTCCTAAAGCCATTGTTTACTGCCTTGGCAACCTAAGAATGCTGTTTTGCTTAAAGCACAATTTTGGTAATTCTTCTTCCATGAATAATATGAAGGAATTCTAAAATTATTTCCAGATTCTGGAAGCTGAGTGACACATCAGGGGAGGGAAGGAAGAGAAGCATCAGCTTCTTGTCTCTGTCTTGGAAACAAATTAAGCAGTTAAGTTTATATAAGAAGTTGCTGAATTTTGAAGCCTAAGTTTAGCCATTAGTGAAACTGCCCCCCACCCAATCTTGGTATGGTAAGAAGCCAGCCCTTTTTAGCTAGAAAGACGCTAAAACAAATTACTCCACTGTAGTCCAGATGAGGGAGATTAGAGCTGCAAAATGAGAGTAAATCCAGCTGCGCCCATTTGCCTTTGGATAAACACTACTGGCAGTTATGTTGCTGAAGCAGCTCCATGATCAACCCGGAAAATAAGATGAAGTTTAACTCAACCTTATCATTGACTAAAGAATAATATTTCCATCATCTGATGCAACAGACAATCTAGCAAAAACATACCACCTGCCTACACTTAACTAAAGAAGGCACAGTTGTGATGGGCAGAGAGATGTTAAGATCTCTAAATTATTTGGCTAGAATGTCCTAGTTGCTGCTGTAATACCACAGGACTAAACATATCAATATGCCAAAATGTATTCTGATACTTTTGTATAGTTGAAAATGTTGTGATGATGGAAAGAGACACTGGGGTAAAAAGAAATAGATTGAAACTAATTTAACTAATAACATTACAATCATATGTTGAAGTAGTGTATAAAGCATTTAAAAAAACATTAAATGTCAAGTGTCTCTTTAAAACAATCTAGTATTCATATGCTAATAATAATAACCATGTGTTGTCAAGTAAATTCAGACTTATGGTGACCCTTTCCAGGGTTTTTAAAGGTAGAGAGTATTCAGAAGTGATTTACCATTTCCTTCCTCCGCCTTCCGCGGGAGGCATCCTGGGATTATCAGTTTGCCCAAGGGGAACTCAACTCCCAACCAGTTACTTAAACCACTGAGCTATCGAGCCAGCTCTATATGTTGATACATCTATATAAATGAAATGAAATGATTGAATGAATATAGCCTTGTAAAACTAGATCTGAAAAGGCCTGGCAACAAGACTGGCAGCAGCAATTTTCTGATATTAAAGCTTCCTCCCCAGTCCCAGGTCCCCCAAAGGGTTTCCCAGGTCAAAATGGATCCCTAGAGAGCCTTGTAATGGGGGAAGGGGAGCAATTTTAACTAAAAAGCAGTGGCTGATGATCTCATAAATCATGTGTGTGGAGCTGTGCCAACAGGATTTCAGCCAGTGAATAAACTGCTTTTGTGAGCAGTTTTCAAAATATTCATTTTATTTTGTACCCATGGTCCAAAATGAATAGAGTCATAGAATAATAAAGTTGGAAGGGGCCTATAAGAACGAGTCTTTGTGTGCACCTTTTCAAACGCATACACTTTTATGCTCTTCCTCCTGTATAAATGTCACAAATCTGGAAAGGTATGGGTCTGGAGGTCTAAATGTGTGCCATGCTGTGCACAGATCTGGGAACTGTCAACCTATTAAGTTTGCACTGAAAAGCAATTGGAATGAATTTCTCATTCACCCCTACTTTAAAGTCAACTCACCTTTCTTGTTACTACTCTGGTGCCCCCTACTGGATGGTCTGATACAGATTTAGAAGGTGGGATGAACTAGAGCAGCTGTCCCATATGGGTAGCTGAATGTTCTTTATTTGGAAGATGAAAGCCCTAGGAACTTAACACAGCTGTGTACAGTGTAGATGACAATGAATTCATTGACTGGGCTTTGACTTTGATTGCATCAGTCCCTCAGGTGTCCCAGTGGCAGAATCACTATCGCTTTTGTGTCTGAAAAAGAAAGGGGGGTAGAGACAGAATAATCGACTGACTTTTGTCTTATTAAATTTAAAACAGCTGCCTACTAGCACTGCCCATCTGTCTCCATATTGACTACACGGAGCAGAGGCCTTTGTGTGTCCCATCCTAGTACGTCAGTGATGATATTTCTGCCTGGGCTGCTATATCAGTTGTGCAAAAGGCTTCCTGGGTCACTGAACTTCTGAAGAGGAAGCAGCCCCAAAGCTTGCTAAGGTCTATCCCAGCTCAACCCTCGACACATTTCTCTATAGCCAGGACAATCTGACCATAGGCATTAGGATTTGCACTCCTCTTTGAAACTACTCACACATTTTGCCTTTAGGCTAGTCAAAGCATGATCTAGTTAATTAAAAAAAATCATTTGAAGGAAACAGGAACAAAGTTCAGTGTCACTGACTCTAAACAAAGTGAGGTCTTCTTTTCACTACTCTCCTCCAGGGCAGACAAGGGCCATACAAATGAGGAAGGCCATATGCAATTGTTTTTTCTTGTCCCCTAACTGTTTTGTCCTTAAACCCATCCATCTGCCAAATGTCACTAGCTGATAAGAACTGCCCTGTTGAAAATCCCTGGTTGTAAATAGATGTTGGCTGACATAATTAATGTCTACCCCACAACCCAATTTGAATTACAAAGTCAAGGCAATTTGAAAATAAGCCTCTGCATGATTACCACTGGTATACACAGTCAGTCTATAAATTCCATAGCCCCAGGAATTATTTAAATTTTCAGAAAATGAATGAAAATCAGGACAAGATGTCGTTCAGGAAAACAGAAGGCAGAAGTGGGGCATCTGAGATAAACTAAATAGTCTCTTGAGATAAACATTCTTGGGGGCAGTAATACCAATGGCTCCAGGCCACGGTGGGTCTCTAACGTCTGCTGCATTTGCAAGGCTCTTATCTCCTTTGCCACCACCACCTACCCAGAGTAAATCCCCTTAACTGATACAGCGTATTATGACAAAAGATTCCTGCTTGTCGCTTCTAGCAAACTGGGTGGTTTTAGAACTGGATGCGTTCACATAAGCTTGCTGTGGTGTACAATCTCTGGAGCGCATTTCATAAATTGGGAGCCAGCCATCTTTTTGCAAGAAACTCAAGATCTGTTGCCTACATAAGGAAATGCAGTAACAGTAAGACAGATTTTGGATGACAAATGAATAACCATGCTATAGCCATAAATTGCACCCACCTTACATTATTTACTTATTTATTTAAATTATTCTTGTGCTGCCTTTCATAGAATCATAGAATAAAGAAGTTGGAAGGGGCCTATAAGGCTATCAAGTTCAACCCCCTGCTCGATATAGGAATAAAAATCAAAGGATATCTGCCAGGTGTTGTCTAAATTTCTCTTGAATCCCTGTAGTGTGGGAGCACTTATCACCTTTCAAGTTCTCATTGTTGTACTGCTCTAGCAGTTAGGAAGTTTTTCAGAACAAAATGTCGCCATAGGGGACCCAAGGCGGTTCACAACAGGTAAAATAAGACATTTTAAAACACT